TACTTAGTCGGAAAGAGTGAAAGGGAGCAAAGCTTAAAGCACAGGATATAGCTATATCAGCAAATCTGCTCACATGGCCTGATCTAGCTAGGTCATCGAACTGCTAGCTATATTGATTCATAAACATGAGTACACCTTTAATTCTAATCATGTTTACAGCTACTCCAACCATGCCGAATTGGTGGAGCAGCAGGTTTCTTCCTCATATTGCAGCCAGCAATAATTATACAAGCATCCTTATGTCTGGATTCTCTCCTTGATACCCATCCTGAATACCTTCAGTTTCCATTTGTACCTTTAAATACAGCTTGTCCCTTTAAATACAGCTGAATTCGTTTGGACACATATCATATGCACAACACAGCTTGGAGATGCAAAATCCTGAAATCAAAATTAATTAGTACAATATAGTTGAGGTTGTATGTTCTGATCCATTCAATTGACTTCTGAGTTTCTCCACACAGTTCAAACCCTAATATGGAAGGTACCTACAGGTTATTATCAGACTCCTTTGTCCTTTTAAAAAATACCCGAAAGAATTGCAGATGCTGTAAATCAGAAACAAAAACAGAAGTTGCTGGAAAAGCTCAGCAGATCTGACAGCATCTGTGAAGAAAATGTCAGAGTTAACGTTTCGGATCACCTGCAGCATCTGTGAAGAAAAAGTCAGCGTTAACGTTTCGAATCACCTGCTGAGCTTTTCCAGCAACTTCTGTTTTTGTTCTTTGGTCTCTTTACTGCCTCTGTTCCTTTTCGTTTCTACAGTTTATTGCTTTTTCTTCTTATTTTCTCTTATATCTCTGTCCTCTTCAGGGCGCCTGCAGTTTTATCTCTATTTGCGAGGTGATTGGAATGGAATGGTATAATGACCAAGCAAATTACTATGAGCTGGAGATCATATTTAGGCTGGGAATTGTGGATAGATACATGGTCTTCAGAAGTTAATCAGTTGCTTTCATTGGCATCCCCATTTCCTCATCTTTCTCTTAGCTATTCCATTACTTATCACAACCCTTACCCTCACCCTCATTTTTACTGGATATTCACTGAAACATTAGCCTTCATTCACTGTATCCCTATTCCAATTGCTCACACATAGGTTGGATACTGAGAGGGTAATGGTCCACTCATTGTTAACTGGCTTCTTCTTCTATTTCATTCCTATTTAGTTACCTCAAAAATGTTTGCTTCTGTTTACAAAACTATGAAAGGTTATTAAAAATTACAGCAACATTAATCAAACAAAACAATCTTTACTTTTCTTTCACCTCTCTCCTCTCTGACCCTATTCTCACTCTGAACACTGATCTCTCCCTGGGCACATTTTTGTCTCTTTGACCCATTTCCCCTTCATTCCAGTCTCTGTTTCTATCAAATTATAAAGTTCACATTTCTTTTTAAAGTTTTGTTTTTATTTTTGCATCAGGACTGAAAAAGGGAAAAGAGCTGTTTTAAAACCAAGGACTGTGGAGGGCAATTCTGCACATTCAAAAACAAGTTACTGGAACTTATTGTGATTTGTGTTTATCCTGTTGCTTTGCAAGCAGTTGGGGAGGATAAGATAAGATGGCACATCACTGGGTATACGCGTAGAGTGAGATTTGACCAGCAACAGAGGGCTGATTAGCTTGTGAATTGTGACCAGTTGTGGATGCCAGAGGTCATCAACCTGAAGAGAACTCTCTGATTGGTTCCTGGGTAGCATAGCAGCTGCCGTATGTGACAATACATGGGCACAAGTTCTCCAGAATGGAAGAAACTGGCTGTATCTCTATATCTCTGCAATAAAAAGAACCAAAGACAGAAGAAAGCCAGTTATTTTCTCTCACCAGTTGTTGTAAGCTGTTGCCTTCAACCAGTAACTAAGAGACTTTATAATTAACGGACTAATCACTCCATAGCTCTTGTGAAGGAGTAAAAGAATTCAGAAAGGGGATTGGAGAAAGAGGGTTCTTAGAAAGCAGAAAGTTAATCTCATTTAATCCTGTGGACTGGTGTTATTAAATTGTACGTCCCCAGTACATTTTCCTTCAGCCATAGTACTGATGTCTTTTTGTTTATTTGTGTCTATCAGGCTGAGTATGTAGATGTTTTGAAAGGAGGTTACAATTTCGAAAATAAGAGTTTTGTTTTGCCTTTCATTAGTGCTTATTTATTTGCAATAAATAGCATTTTTTGTTAAATACAGGATTCTGGTCAGTGTTTTCTGTAAATTTGATTCAATCAGATAGCTAAATTGGAGACTCATCTGTACTTTTATTAAATCACTTAATTCTTGTGGTGACCCTGGGAATAGTGGAGTGTATCAACACACTTTCCACAGTGGGTTATAACAATGTGCACCTCTTCTGACTCATCTCTCTCTTTCACACCCATCTCTCTGATTCTAGTTACTCTGTCACACCTATCTCTCTTTGACATCATTCTATCTGCTGTCAGTCTCCCTCTCACACCCCTCACATGAAGTCATAACAGCACAGGCCATTCAGCCCATCAAGTCTGTGGCACTCCTGAATGAAGCTCCATATTTTTCTCTCTTTGTAAGATTAACATATCTCTAAAGTTTAAGGAAAAACACCCAAGTGGTGTGCTTGCAGGGCTATTGATCAAATGATGTAAAGTGAGATTCTGCTCACTAGTTTGCTTTTTGGCAGGCACAAACATCATGGGCCAATTGGCCTCTTTCTATGCTGTAAACGTTCCATGTTTCTATTAATGTAAATGTTCCAATGTAATCAGAAAACTTGTCATTTTCTTTCTCTTACACAAACAATCTGCATCCTTTACAAATATGCAACATTGTTAAAGTTAATGAGTAGTGCTCTTTGTCTTTCAAAATTAGTTGAGAAAAAGCTACTGGTCAGAAAGAATATGGAGCTTAAAACATCTCTACTGTTTCTGACCTTACCTTGTTTGTCTTTCTATCTTCTATCCTTTACTTTGAGCTGACAGATGGTTAGGTCATGCTGCATTTGGTGTTTGTTTCTCGGAGGGGTGGAATGTCATCATCACCATCGCTGTGTTTCCTCACGGTTCTTCACTTCCATTATATCTCACGTCTCTTCAAATCTCCAACTTCTTTTCTATTCCTAATGTATAAAGTTAATTAGGCCTCTACCATTCTCAATCATACTCAGTTTCATTGTATTTTAACATTTTTGAAATATGTCATTTTTTTAAAAAGTAAGTAAATAACACTAAGTGTTAAAGAAATGTATTTCGTCAGTATAACTAACTGAATGCTATTGATGTAACTCTAAAATTAGGCACAAATCCATGCTCACATTGTGAAATTCAGAGTGCCTGGGTGGGCAAAGCAATTGAAAGTTCAAATTCAAGCTTCTGGGAGAGGCCCATAACTTCAAGTCAAAACTTTAATAAACGCATTAAAAGACATTTGAAAAACAATAAATAAATGTAACCACGCTGTTGTGATACATGTATTTTATTAATCATTTATGCTGTTTAAATATTGATTTTGGACACTAAAAATTTCTGTTACTGAGAAAAATGATGCATGAAAAATAAAGTCAGAAAGCATTTTGAGTAATTGTGAGAATCTGGTGGCCCAGTTATGCAACTGAAGGATGATTGCTCTCTTATTATAAAATAGTAGCAACTGTATGTCACATAATGAGATATATGAAACATTGAAAATGTTTGTCATCATTCGGCTTACAGGAGCTGCAAGTACTACAGGCATTTTCAACTAAATAGGTACTTCAAGAACCTTATATTTAATAGATAGAATAAAATGAATGTCTAGAATGTGGCATACGTCTGACTGCATTTAATAGAATAAAATGTCAAATGTTCAATTTGAAAAAAAGAGATAATTTCTTGAAATGAATGAAAAGAATTTAACTTTGCTTGAATATTATGAACAGTTCAGACTGCAAAATGATATTGATTCAACAAATATGCTTCTGATTCTTTGCAATACAAATGTCACACAGGACATCACCTTTCTATTAAGCTAAATAACTTGCTTGGTGAATGTATTGGGTGAAAAGAGCACCGTCAGATGGTCCCACTTGAATCACTTCATCATTCCTAAGTTGTTGTGATGTAGATTGACTCCTTTTGATGTGATTCAGTAGTGTATAATTTATTGCACATTCAAACTTCAAGTTTAGCATAATGACATTTTTAATCTCCTAGTAGAAATGAGCAACCACTGTAAGAGTAAACAGTTTAATTTACTGTAGACCATACTAATAATACAAAGTATTCAGACATATGTACAGCTCTCTTGAATACAAAGAGAGAAATCCATGGATTACAATGATCACGGAAAGTAACTGGTACTGTCAATGCACATCAGTATCTTTTGGTTATAACCCTGGTACTTTACATCTGGAAAAGCTGGAACAGGTTCTTTGTAACATCCCATGTGAATTCCAGAAGTGATTTTTTGTTGTGTTGTTCATACCATTGAACATTGTACATTGGTCAGACATGGTATTTTGAGCAAAGCCAGCATGCTATTAGTGCTTGATGGAATTGAACCATATGGGAATTATGTAAGAAGCTGTAATTGATTGCAGAATCAAACATCTTCTATAGAAATAAAGTATCTGTTTTCCAAGTGTGTTGGATGTTATTTCCTATTTCAGCTTGCTTCTCTGTGATGCATTTTTTGAAATAGGATTTGATTTATTCAGTCAGTAATGTATACCTACTGACAATGGCAATTGGATCAACTCCATGGCTACTTGCATTTTTGAGTGTACAGTGCCACAACAATGCCAAATCAGAAAGAACCATTAATGATGAGTTTTAAAATTATATCATCGTGTCCAACTCCAGAATAAAAGGTCATTGCCGATGACCATTCGATATCTGACCTTGTTGTTTCTCACTTGAAGAATAGTGTACTTGACATTGTACTTGTACAATCATCAGCAACAGTGACGATCAGTCAGTGTATAAGTAGCAAATCTAGTGGGTCCAGGAATACTTCAGATGGTACTACACTTTTTATATTGTAAATTCTGATATGACTGCAGTGTTTCAACTAACTGTCCTTCATAATGGCTGTCTTCCATCATTACGAAAAGTCTGGAGTCTGGGTTTTAAGTTCTCGGATGGATCTAAATAATTAAATAGAAAAGAAAGTTCATGAATTTCCATTATAGGTAAACACAGTTGCTTGCTTTACTCAATATAAAAGTTAAAATATTTCAGAGTTTAACTTAATTACCAACTGCACTATGAGTTGGACATAAAAAAAAATGAAGTAATGCTAAATGATGTTATATGTTAGTGAAGTGATTTAAAGTGTTCCAGAATTTCTCTTTTTAGTACCTGGTGTATTTATAGTTTTGAACAGATCTCCATTTATTGAAGTCTTTTTACCTTTTGCACACACAATAAAATTCTTTACAATATGCAGGTCTGTTTTCTGTTCTCTGAATTTCTAATATTGATTGCTGAAGTAAACTTATGGAATATACAGGGGGTAATTTTCAACTTATCGCTGAAATATAAAACAGGTATTATGGGTCAGGTAACAATTACAAAACCACCCGATCTTCCTTTCCATGCAAATCAATAGAAAGACAAATTTGGCTGTTTCTATAAACACAATCCGAGTTGCAATGCTGGTAAGTTGAAAATTAACCTCACAGCTAATGAGAAATTCTGAATCATGATATTTTGAGAAAACTAAAAATTCAATTGCTAAAATACTATTACTGTTGTCAGAATGTAGGCATATCACATCATCCTCTGTTTGAAATTGTACCATTTGATGGAAATATAATATTTCTTTGTCTGCTATTCTAATGGAATTTATAGACTGTTTACAAAATATGCAATCCTTTACTAAACGTAATAACTTTATGCAAACATAATAACATCTGAGAATTTCCTTGAGACAACTCCTATTTAATCATTCTGCAAGTGACTGAAATTCCTCAAGGAACAATTGCAATGGCTTCCAGGTGGCAGTCTGGAAAGTGGGAGATATAATAGAAAGGATCTGAGGAGGAATGATTCTCCAATGCAGCCCTGCCACCAAGGAGTTTTCCCACTGGTTACAGGTTTGCAAATGTAAATATCCAATGGAGTACCATTTATAGAGTCGCCTGCATTTGCCAAATGCCTTACACTCTCACTTTCCCTAATGCTTAATGCTTGAGGATGTCATCAGCTTAATGTAGATAGCTTCCTTGTGGTAACCTGGGGCACCATTGCACAAAGAGGGGCCATGGGTTGGGAAGGATGGCCCCTCAGCCTCATTGATCTCCTGAGAGGAAATTCTGTCCTGATTCTTGATTACTTGTTTTCTATATTTACCTGTTGAGTCTTGAGGTCTTTTGCCTGGCTCAAGAACAACCCTTCTCTCAGTGACACAACATAGGCCTCAGAGCTGCTGACCCTCTGATCATGTTGGATGGATTCCTGCTACCATCCTCTTTCTGACTGGGCCCACAGGACCTCCTTAATATAACAGAAACCACTAGGCAGTGTAAAGCGAAGAGGCTCTTGTTTTAATCAAAATGTAATTTATTTCATGACAGTAATCAGGACAATGTTACATAAGTAAGTTAGATGTTGTTTCTAAGACTATTTGGGCACCTGGATAATAGGTCTGTCTTCTTTGAGATTCTAAGATGCTCTGACATTTCCCACCATGTCCTTTTGATTAGGTGAATGTCCATACAGTCTCTAACATTAACCTTTCAAACCATTACTTTATACATCAATACCCAGTGAACAGGTTACCTGCAATAAAATTGCTGAACTTTTCCGGGAGCAAGTAAGTTCAAGCTTAGGAATAACTTTTAATATCAGAGTCCCCAAGATGCAGTAAACTTGGTTTGAATTTTACACCAGCAAGATTGACTCTGACTAGTCAATTCATTAACCCGAGGAATGAGTCAGAGAACGGCTGTCCCTATTTTGTTGAATTTTATTTCTTTGGCAGTTAACTGTTAGTCAGCTTCTAACTGGAGCATTGTCCAATGCAATGCCTCTATCAATCAGCATTCACTAGCCAATCAATCAGTGCTCTCATCTTATACAATATAAATGACATTTATTTTGCATTTATTGCCCATTCCTAACTGCCCTTTTGAACCGCTGCAGGCCTTGCAGTGTAGGCATGTTTAGAGTACTGTTAAAGAGGGAGTTCCACAATTTTAACCCAATGACAATGATGGAACAATGATCTTTTTCCAAGTTAGGATAGTGTGTGATTTGGGGGTGAGATTGGAGATGCTAGTGTTGTCATGCATCTGCTGTTCTTGTCTTTCAAAATGATACGAGTCATATGTTTGGAAGTTGCTGACCAAGAAGTTTTGGCAAATTATTATAGAACATTTTGTGGCTGATACACATTTTTGCCACTGTGTGCTGGAGGTGGAGGGAGTGAATGTTTACCACGAAGTCTGTAGACTTCATTGTCCTAGAAAAACATTGAGCTGAATATTGTTAGAGCTGCACTCATCCAGGCAAGTGGAAAGTATGCTATCATATTCCTGATTTGTACTGTGTAGATGGTGGACAGGCTTTGGGGAGTCAGGAGGTTAAGTATTCACTAAAAACTCTCAGCCTCTGACATGCTCCTGTAAATACAGAACTTTTTTAAGGCTGGGCCAGTTCAGTTTTTGGTCAATGGTAAACACCAGATCTTGATTGGAATTTCAATGATGGTAATACAACTGAATATCATGGGCAGATAGTTAGATTATCTTTTCTTGGAGAATTGCCATTGCCTGGCACTTGTAGGGCTCAAATGTTAATTACTACTTAGTATCCCATGCCTAACTATTGTCTGGTTCCAATGTCATGAGGTTTTGGCTGCTCAGCTCTTCATTAAAGTCATGAATGTTATTAAATATTGTGCAACCATCAACGAACATAAAAACCAAAAGAACTGCGAATGCTGTAAACCAGGAACAAAAACAGAAGTTGCTGGAAAAGCTCAGCAGGTCTGGCGGCATCTGTGAAGAGAAAATCAGAGTTAACGTTTCTGGTCCGGTGACCCTTCCTCAGATCTGGGAGCGAATACCCCTCTTCTGACCATATGTACGACATTGCCCTAGTTGACTGTAGACATTCTTTCGACCTTTACGACATGTAAGTTGATATGACTATGATTTCATGTGACGATTAATAGTCTGCTTATTATGCAGAAGCAAACAGACTTATTATTTCCATTCTGTACTCTGAACACGTTTTGTGGCATTTACTGGAGCTCAGCTCCATTGGTGGGACAAAATATTTACAATTAAAGGAGAACTAACAGCATGATAAATTTTGTAAAAGCAAAACTGAAATGAGATTAATCAATATTTCCTGTACCCTGTAGCTAACCACCCTGTGTTACTGCTTGTGATTACTTGGTTTCTGTTTTCACTCATCATTTGCCACTTGATATATTCACCATACTTCTAAACATCAGATCAAATTAGTCTCATATACATCATTCTAAATCCTATTTCTATACCAATATCATAATATTAACTGCAACACTTAATAATCCTTACACTCCCTGATTTGAACTGACGATTGCAAAAAATTGATTGCATTCAGCTGCCTTCTAAGAGTTTATTAAGCAAATGAAATGTTTTGAAACGTTTCATCCCTAATTGCAACGAAATTGTAGCTGTGATAGTGTAACTTTCAGAGTTACCAAGACTAATTGAGCTAGAATTTGGTTTGCAGAATGTTGCTCATGGTAATGCAATGGAAATCTTGCAATGTTGTACTTGTGGGCCCTGCACCTTTGGCTGTTCCTGAGTGGACGGATTGCATTCCTTGAGAATCAAGGAATCACACCTGGTGTGACCCTGACTTGATTCACTACTAACTTAATGTCATACAACCCAATTGCAATGAATGTCCAGATAGTGTCTGCATTATTTACTCAATTCAAAATAAAAGCATGACATTGCAGCACGGTCTCTGCAGTAGTTTCATTTAAAGGGCCAAGCACCCTGATTGCTTGTAAGGGAAGTCTTGGCACGTCTTCATTTAAACAGGGACTGGAAGTACTGGAGTATTTTTTGGAGCTATTGTGGTAGGTGGCTGGGTTTGAGAGATGCATCCTCAGGCAGAAGGGATAGGGGTCTGGGCAACAGAGGAATCAGTAACATGTAGACAACAAAAAGTTGTATTTCCCCAGGTTTGGAAGCATTTGCTGCTCCTGAACCTGTGCTTCTCAATAATGTGCCCACCATCAAACATTTACGGGAGGTGGTCAACTATTTGCAGCCTCTGCATTCCCTGTCCAACGAAGGCAGGAGAAGATGCAGATGATCCAACGGAAGGGCCTGAAGGTATGTCCAGTTGACAATCCCTCCAGAAGAAGGAAGTATTCCTGAAGAAATGGGAGACATAGATGCCTGCTAGGAACTGTGAGAGACTGCAATAAAAAGCAAGTCCCAGAACTGTACAGCTCCTTGGCTGGGAGAGGGCACCTCCACAAGAATGCATTTAGCCATAATAGCACCCTTTGAGCATTTGCTGAGCTTCTGAGCTCCTGCTGAAAAGCCACTTGCAAAGTATTACTGGGGTCCTGTCACAATGGGGTCTGGGGACCGGGATGCGACTTTGGGTGACATTGGCAAACTTGGATCAGTCTCAAAAAATGGTCCTTAATTCAAGCCTGAATTACCTTGATTGCCTCCACTGAATATGTTGCTGGTTCCAGTAAGTACTGGGCCCTAAGAAACTTGTTTGATGGGAGGACAACATCAGATAGCCATTCCTAACATGAATGTCCATTACTTTCCAAGAGATACATGGTTACAACATCAACAATTTGCTCTTCATGACAGATAGAAGGATGAGGGTGACTTAGTTAGAAAAGGGACTTAAAGAATTCTCAATGGTTTCAGTGGTAAAGAACTGCCCAGTGCATCCTGGCCCATAATGTTAAGTATCATCGCTTTCAAGTAGCTCAGGAGAGGCAAGTGGCCTTGTCTCCCACCATATCTACTTTATTTCTTTCTACTGTGTGCCAAAATCTCTTGCAAAAGAGGAGAAATGTCAGTGATTGTTTAACACCCTTTGGGTGAAGCGTGCGCTATAGCTGAATAGCAGGACGTTTGTGGAGGCAGTTAAAGGTGGGTTATGAGGCTTG